CCACAAAAACAAAATCAATAGGTGGTTGGAACAATCTTACAGAAATGAAGGAAACTGAAAAAAAATTGATTGGAAATGTTTGAATATTTTTCAACTTTCGATTGTCGAAGAAAACACATCAGGTTAAAGCTCTTTGAACTTCAAGAACTCAGGCACTTTTTCGATAAAATTATCCCATTAAGAGATAAACGGATCATTAAGTTTTGACCATAGTTTTATAAAAAAAACGGAGTTTTTTTTTCTAGAACTACGGCATATTCGAAAGGCATAATAAGGAAGGCAAATTAGAAAATACATTTTGAAGAACAAGGAACAAAGAACGAAAAAAATAGTCAAAAAAATCAAATCAAATTTTCAAAAAATTGCAGAAATTTTTTGAATTTTGAGGAAAAAAAATTGAAATTTTTGATTCCCAAAATGGCGTTAACCAACTCCAAAAACTAATCTACTTGAGAGAAACTAACTTATATTAAGCATAAATAAGCCAAAAAACTAAAACACACCCGAAATCGTTCAATGGTCGGAATAACAAATTTGAGCGTGAAAAAATACTAAAAAAAGAAGGGAGCTTGCGCCAAAAAAAAACGATCAGAAAGGACTTTCCTTTCAAAAACAAAAAAAATTTCGCAACAAAAAGTTTGCTTGCAACGAAAAATTTTTAAAGATAAAGGAACTTCAGCAAGAAAAAAATTTGAAGAAATAAATAAAAGTTCACTATTTTCTTATAACAAAAAATTTCTAAGGAAACTTCAGCAAAAAAATACTCAGAAAAATAAATAAAAATTCAGTCTGATTCCAATTGACGTTTTAAACTTGACTGCAAAAAAAAATACTTTTTCAGAAGACGAGCGCTAAAACTTTTTCTGAATTGCACAGAATGGTGAGATCCAATATTGACTGTTTTCAGATTCTTTTGTTCAAATCAGACAAAGATTTAAAAACAGCATAAATCTTACTTTAGGAGACAAAAAAATTAATACGGAGAAGGAGGCTTCAACAAAGTTTTTATAAATAGATCTGCCGAATATAAATAATCTGATTATTCAGCTCTAAAAAAATAAATTTCTCCAAAACTTTGAAAGCAATTCAAAACATGCAAACTAATTTTCATATTTTCATTAAAAAATAACAAGGATAAAATCAAATTAAAAAAGAAAACAAGAACTGAGAAAAAATCAATATGCAAGTAAACAAAAAACATGTCGTTTTGAAAACTTACGAAGCCAACAATAATAGCCGATTCTTTTTTCGAAAATTTTCAGAGAAGAAATAGAAAAAAGTACAATTGAACAAAAGTCAGTGAATAAACAAAGAATGAACACTTATGAAATATTTCTCAGAAAAAAGAGGCGTACTAAAACCCGGTCTAGCCTTCAACTCGGTTATCGGCCTTCAAGCAAAATAGACTAAAAAACAAAGAAACCAATATAAAGACAGAGCCGAAGCGACGCTTTGCATCACTTGCGTTACAACACAAACATAAAAAAAGTTTAAAAAATGAAAAATTTGAAAAAACAGCGTCTACCAAAAAAATTTTCTAATGTTTCGGTATAAGTGCATAAGCAAATTTCTCTCTATCCTCCTTTATCTCAACTGAAACGACAACCTCAGGTTTCGGTTAGTTTTTAAGAAAAGTTGAAAAAGAATAAAAAAACGGTCAAAAAGATGAAAAATTTGACTATTCGGAGGGACATAACTTTATGTCTATAAAAAAGTTAGGCGTAGCCGCTAATGGAGGGATCCTTTTCAAGTCGATTCAAGTTATTGAAATTAAAATTCCAAATTTGAAAGGTTAGTTTTTGAGAAAATAAAAAAGATCCAAAAATAAAAAAAATGGGTAAATATTCCCCCCAGATTTTGAAGGCTGTAGACTAAGGCGTAAAGCAGAAAGAGACCGGCGGAGTACACAGGCAAACAACAATGTGGGCAGTCTTTGTTTTGATACCTTTTTTTAAAAATCGGTACAAACATTTTTGAGAAAAAACTATTTTTGCAAAAATTGATAAAATTTTTCAAAGAAACAATAAAAAAACTGAATCCCATACACTTTCATAATATATGTTTTTATCAATCAAGAACTCTAGGCAAACACTCCTAGCAAAAAATTTGAAATTCAAATTAGTAACTGAACAAAACTTACAAAGCGGAAACAAGGCCGACAATCTCTAAGCAGACACCGCCGAAAAAGAACTGATTTTTGTTTACAAAACTTACAAAAGTTTCAATTTCCCATAAAGATACTCTATAGTAACTAGTTATTACATACTTGTTACCTCTGTGCCAGGTTTGCCGGTGATTGAGCTCGAGAGCACGTGAGTGGAGAGAGTGCACGTGAATGAAGTCTAAAGATTCAATTGATTTTGTTAAACTAGTTGTTATCCCGAAAAAAAATCCATATTCCAGTTTAATAACGCTGGCTGATCGCAGGCGTAAAAAATAATTGGGAAACTGTTTTGAATTTATTTATTTTCTTAAAAAAGGGGACTGTTGGGCAGAACTTTTAACAAAAATCAAAAGAATTTAAAAATTCTTTAATGAGTTCAACCAAAATCAAATAATATGACTGGAATTTAGTAGAAAAATCACAACAAGCCGAAAGAATTAAAGCCGACACCCAAAAATTTAATCTACCAAAAATTTTTGGCAAAAAGCTGAAAAGTCACAGCGCGCAACATCAAATTTGCCGTTTCTTATTTTCACCAATATATTATCAAAGTTGGAAATATATTATCAAAGTTGGAAAAAAATTAAGTAACCGAAACCCGATAAAAAATACCCTTTCTTATCTCAAGGTTTACACAGCGGTAAGCTACAGCTTCGCAAACAAAAGCGAGAAAGCGACAAAAGATTCGGCAGCTTTAATGACACCAAAACACAAATTCTCAATGTAATAATTTGGAATATAATAAACTAAAAGGCTATCGCACAAAATGTGCATATAAAAAATTAGAAACTGTAGAGCCAATTTTTGTATAAATTATGCATTTCGAAAATTTCGCAAGACATACTGAGTTGGAAAATTTCTGAAAAAGACTATGAATTATTGTAGTGCTGTATCTAAAAAAAATTCCCTAAAAAAGTGGTATTTTATCAGCGACTTACAGTGGAAAAATGTTGTATCGTACAATCACACCACGCTTTACTTGTGTAAAAAGCTGCTTTAATGAGAAAATTTCCAATTCCAAAAAGCGGTTCAATTGAAAATACATGTGAGGCAAGACAAAAATTGTGTCTAGATAAGAACACCAAAAAGGTTTAAAGCCATTTTTATTCGAAAAAACTATCCTAAATAAACAGAAAACTTGAATATTCATTCGGATTGGCTGTGTTGATTGCTGAGAAGAAATGTTTTCAGGTTTTGAAATGAGAAGAATGTTTGAGAATGGTTGAGATAAGGTTTAGATTTTTATTGAAGAACAAAGAGGCAGCTCTTGGGACGATACGCGAGTGTAAACAGTGGACGAAACAAACTTATCACTCTTAACCCACTTCTTAACGTCATTACTGGGCTATTTCTCTTTCCATTGTATACCTTTAGGGTTAAAACAAACTATGATTTGTTATTAATGAGCAATCAACAATGCAATCAATGGGTGTTTTCGCACTTATCGACACGCTGGCTGTCTAGTTGTAAACCTTTTCAGCCCTGTTGACCTTAAATTGAAGAGAAGCTTTTTGTAATCGATACCTACCAGTTACAGTAAGTAGTAATCTAACGAACTATATGCTGACTAGTACTGTCAACTTGAGCCAACAACTCAAGCTAACTTCATCAAATCTATTTCAAAACTCGTAGCCTTTCGGTGCTATTTTCTTCTCCTTTTTTGTTTTCTATCGTTCTGTATTCCAATTGGTTCGATTAATTTTAATCAGAGCAGCCTAGTTTCAGGGTCAACAGTACTATAACTTGTAACTGTTTAAGTAGTTCAATTGCCATTAGCCCAAATTGCCCCGACGTTCGCCTCCTGACACGATTGACCCCGCCCGGCACATGTTGTTTGTTTGGGCCCAAGCTAGTGAAGTCATCAGAAAAGCGGAGCTAAAAGGGAGAACTGGGCATGAAATTACTTGAACGACAAACAACTCTGCTCTCAATTAGACCCCATTGTGAGTTGTCTTGTCTTCGCCTAAGTCACTTGTGAGATAACCCTAATTGGAATCGGCCTAGAAAAGTATCAAATGTGAGAGGCACTGCTGACCCTAATCACTTCAAAGCAGACAGAAAAACAACACCACCACCACCACCACCACCAAGTATAGAACATAACGAAACAGCAGCTGCTGCGAGCAGAGCTCAGTATTATCCATCCACGCACATAATTCTCTGTTCACACTTTCCATAACCACCTATCATCTGCTCCGCCCCGAAAGACCCACCCTATTTCATTTGATAACCGAGACGTCAAATTGCTAATCGAGCAACAACTAAAGCTCACAAAAACTAATCAGCTAATAGAACAAGTTCGAAACTTCTGTTGAAACATCAGTAAAAGGTCAAATTGGTACAAAGAAAAATTGCCACATCAACATAACTGGGTGAGTGAAAATTTCAACTTAACTAAAATTCCTACTTTTTTACTGAATTAACTCATTTTTCCACAAATGAGCGACCTTCAGTATTCTGTAGGGCGAATTTATCATGTCTACATTTTCAGTTGAATGATCGATAAAAAGGTAGTTCATCGGACAAATTGAGATTGAGAGGCGAGTTTCGTCACCAACCGAAACATCCTCTACTCAACTTGCTATTTGATTCTAATTCAAAATGGTAAACAGTTTGTTTACTGCCGCTCTTGAAGCAATCCAAGACATTTTGAAACTTTGCTTATTTTTCCTGAACATCTTAACTAACAAACACGCTTTGCAAATTGCAAAAACTTGGAACTCAAATCAAACTTTACTTGCTTTATTTCTCGAAACTTGACCCAACACAGCTAACAATAGGGCAAATAATTTTGAGCTTGCAACTTTTCCGATTAAAAAAATAGATGAAATAAAGTGATACTTTAATAGCGTAAATAAACAAGGGGAAATCCACAGGGAAAACACAGGTAAGTACATGTTCGTCCAATCAGATTTAAGCAGTGGGAAAATGGGCCATAATTGGCTGTTTGACATCAGTATCAATTGTTCAATCAAGAATCAATTGAATGCAATCAATTGGAAAAGTTGACAACATTTAAACACCTCTTTTCTCTCCATTTAACCAAATCGGATAAAAAATAAACAAAACAAACAAATTTCCATTTGTTACAGAAAACTTCTTCTCATCCAAGTAATTTAACTTCTTCGCAAGAGAAAACACTTCAGAAATATTCAATTTTGGACTCATACTCGATATCAATCCGTTCTTCTGGTTAAGCAATGCCTGGATTTTCGATGGACGAAATACTCGGATTGGGTTCCCAACCTCAGCCCAATAACTCTCGTAGCTCAGGAGATTTCCAAACTTCCCCACTAATTGCCTCTTCAAGAGAAAGTGGACTGAGACTGGCATCGAACGACGCATCCAGTGATGCCGGATCGGACGAAGTCCTGGACTACTATGAAGAGGATGAGGCCAATTTGGGAGACGATAACATGGATGACGATGAGGAAGACGAAGACGAGGGAATTGGCTCGGGAAGCAGTCATTCTTTCGGACGATTTCCTCAAGGCGAGTTGCAACCTAAGTTCAATTCCGTTCACAAAAAGTAGAAAGAAAATCATCTCACATTTTTTCACAGCTCTGTTGCAACTCACAGTTAACAATTTATGGTTTCAACGAAGTAGAGAGAGAACAGCGAACAATACAGTCCACGAAATTTATTTAAAATGAAGGCAAAAACTCTAACTGATTATCATATCTTCTAACGGATAAGAAGAACATAACTAACAAGAAAGATTGAATAGCTGAATGAATGCACCATTTCGAAATAACTAAAACAAGCATCATTTTTTCAGATGGAGCCTCGAACAGCACTTTTGGCGGCTTGGGTGAGGTGGACAAGTCATCTCTGCTGACTAATCTGATGGGGGACAAGAAGAAGAGGAAGCGGAGGGTTCTGTTCTCCAAGAGCCAGACATTCCAGCTGGAGAGTCGCTTCAGACAGCAGCGATACCTCAGTGCACCCGAGAGGGAACAGCTGGCCAATGCAATTAACCTCACACCCGGACAGGTAGTCAAACAGCCAGTTCAATTTTCAAATTAGCTGTACTCAAATACCTCAATCACACAATCGTAATTAGAGCTTCCAATGGGAAAGCGAACGTTTCCAGAATGAAGACAAACTTGACCATTTAGCAAAAATTAACCAATTTGTACTTCAGGGTCTTTTAAATTATTTGTTCTTCGTAATTTATATCGAAACACAAACTAATTGTCCAAAATATTGATACAATAAAAAACTGATTTGGTTCAAAATTTTAGTTAAACGCCAAATAAATTGAAAAGAGCTTTAAACTCATGCACTCCTGAGCTATATCAGCTCACCAGTCTCAAGTTTAATAATTTAAAATACGATGATATTTTTTGTTTTATCACCTTCTCGTGATTTATACAATTTAAATTTTCTCCAGGTCAAAATCTGGTTCCAGAACCACCGCTACAAGTGCAAGAAATCTAGCAAGGACAAATGCAGCCCCACGATGGCACACTTCGATCCACAGGGATACTGCCACCCAGTCACCGGCAGCCCCTACCACTCCCTCCTGAACCCCCCTCCCCACTTCTCCCTGTCAGCTGCAGCAGCCAACTCACCTGGCCAATCGCCAATCGGGGCAGCCGCTAACTTCAACCTCCTGATGCACCACCAACGTCAGCATCAACAACAACTCGCAGCAGCAGCGGCCGCCGCTTCCGGCTCGTCATTCGGAAAACCCTCGCAACAAGCTGTGAACGAATTTCTAAGACAGCAGTCGTTAAACGCACTCAACAGTCGAAATCAGCAAGCTTTGAGTCTTGCGCAGACTCTAGCCGCTGGAATGGGTCCCAATGGACAGAAGATCGGCAGCTCATGGGCACAACAAATGGGTTTGCTTCAGTCACAAATGCAGACCCAAGGACAGGTGATGGGAGGAGGAAATCCTACTATGATGAACCCTCTTGCCTACGCCTATCTAATGGCATCTGCAAACAATAACTCGAGTCAACAAAAGCAACAACAGCAGCAATCACAAAATCATTCTTCGCAGATTGGGTCATCGCAGCTACATCAGGAACTGACCTCGAATCAAATAAAGGCACAGCTTCAAAAACTCTCTTTGCAACAGCAACTTCAAGATCTAATTGGACTGAGCAAAATATCACCGCCAAATAAAAAGAACAATTCAAGCAGTGCTTCCTCTGAAAGAGAATCCGATGACGTAAAAACTGCAGATAAAATGAGCAGTAATCAAAACACACACTCGCCAATAACACCTACCTCCACTTCTCAGAACGGAGTGAAAGATTTCACTCGCCGAACTCTGGAGCAGGAAGAGGTCGTGTGAGCTAAATGCTTAGAGCGAGGCATCGTGCAATATACAAATTTTAAACTTCATATTTTTATATCAATTGTGAAACAAATTTTAGAAATTCAACCTATGCAAAAATTTTTTCCTACAATAGTTTGGGGGCCCATAAAATTGACAAAGATGAAGTGAATGCATTGCGCAAACAAATGCAAAAAAACTAAAATTCTAAAAATCTGGAACTGTTTTCCGGCGTTGATCTTAAAAAATGATGACCTACTCATTTTTAGGACCACTAAATTAATTTTCCGAGCCCCTTCAAAATACTATAACCTCCCTATTTTGCATAATTTTGAAAAAAAAAACGGCCGAAAACAACATTTTTAGGCACTTTTGGAAGATTCTGACCAATAGATCGTGTTATTTCGACGCGCACTCTCCCCTCAAAATAAGTATATATTGGCGCTGTAAAAAATGTTGTTTTTACAAAATTGTTTTTTACAGCCAAAAATCGATGTGGTGAAATAGTACCTCGGGCCCTAAATCCGCTACTGACAGCTTTCCTGAAAAAAAACATAGCTCCACCTGGAACCGTTCCATACATCATCTTCTTCAAAAATCATTTGCTTTTACCACTGCGCAACTGCGTTCGATTCCCGTCTCCTTATGGTTGCCAATTTCTCCCCCTTCAAATTTTTTCACAACAGCAATTAAATACTAATTCGGCGCCAGACTATTCTAATTTTGGGGGTGAGCACGCAATAAAAACGGAGTCCCTTCAAAAAATTTCCAACAGAAATCTCATCATAAGAAGTCTCATCAGTAACTAAATCATTCTGGGGCTTAGGTAGAGCACAAAATATACGACCTAAAAAAAGAGACAATTTTCAAAAAAGGCCCCCGTCAAAAATTTCCTGAACAAGCACTGCTGATGATGATTGCATGCTGTATGAAATCCGTTAACAGAAATTGGACAACACAACGTTGAGTAGATTACAAGCATTCCTAGAGCAAACAACCAAAGAAAACTGATTATTTCAACGTAAACTTCTTTGGACAACTGTCAAAACTAGCGTCAGTAATTTACGAAGAAAACCAGAAATCTTCAAATCAAACCTAAGATATAAAATGATGAAAAAGATTGACTACTGAGCCATTTAAAGGATGTAACGCAAGTCAAACAAGACTGCTCGTATCAAGGCGAAGCCCTGAATGTTCCGACTGCCTTTTAAGGTTCTGGAGCAGTAATAACATTTAAAAAAACTAAATTAAATTTATTTTCTAAATTGGAATTTTTTTTGAAAATCATCCCCCCACACGCCATATGAAATACAAAAGGATAAATTTCGCTCTTTGTAAAAAATCAATTATGGCAAATAAGCTTCGTTCAACCAATTTAAAACGATTTCTAATACGGATTAACTCTCCGCTTACGCGTTAATAGCGCGAATTATATCGCGCGTTAATTGTCCCAAAACGGCAACCTTTAAACCCCCATAATTTTACGAAAAATGATCACAGGTGAAATATCTTTTCAAATTTAAGCTCAGGACAACAATATCTTTCGAATGATATTAAAAAATTCTGACAAAAATGGCTAGTTAAAAAGTCGAAATTTGTCTGAAGAAAAAAAACTCACCCCGAGCACAAATATTCCGTTACTTTCGTATCGAAAGTCGGAACAAAAATAAAGTCAGCTCGACAGTAGAACACTGACCGTGAGCTGAATTCGCTGAAAAAATAAAACCACGCGGCGTAAATGTGAAAATACTTTATTGACTTTGACATCTAAATTTAAGTCTTCATTCAAAAAGTTAGCCTTTCGTCTAAACTGCTCAAATCAAACAATCTCTAGTTGTTAATGGTTTGAAATAATGAGAAGCATCAACGTCTTTTTTGTATGTTTTTCAACTTTCGAAATTCGAAGAAACAAATTATCGTTAGCGCTCTATCAAATTCAAGTATCTTTTTTGATTGCCACTTTTTTCAAAGAAGAGAACAAACCCAACAAGACTGTGGAGCAGTAATAACATTCTGGAGCGGTTTTATGGAGCAGTAATAACATTAAAAAATTAAATGTAGCAAAATAAAATTAAATTTTTTTTTCTAAAAATTGAAATTTTTTAATGACAATCATCCCCCCACACGCCATACTAAGTACAAAAGAATAGATTTCGCTCCTTGCAACAAATCAATTATGGCAAATAAGCTTCTTTCAACCAATTTGGAACGATTTCTAAGACGGATTAAATCTCGCTTACGCGTTAATAGCGCGAAATATATCGCCCGTTAATTGTCCCGAAGTGGCAATCTTCAAACCCCCTTAACTTTATGAAAAATGATCACAGGTGAAATATCTTTTCAAATATGAGCTCACGACAACAATAGCTTTGGAATGATATTTAAAAATTCCGACAAAAATGGCTAGTTAAAAAGTCGAAATTTGTCTGAAGAAAAAAAACTCACCCCGAGCACAAATATTCCGTTACTTTCGTATCGAAAGTCGGAACAAAAATAAAATCAGCTCGACAGTAGAACACTGACCGTGAGCTGAATTCGCTGAAAAAATAAAACCACGCGGCGTAAATGTGAAAATACTTTATTGACTTTGACATCTAAATTTAAGTCTTCATTCAAAAAGTTAGCCTTTCGTCTAAACTGCTCAAATCAAACAATCTCTAGTTGTTAATGGTTTGAAATAATGAGAAGCATCAACGTCTTTTTTGTATGTTTTTCAACTTTCGAAATTCGAAGAAACAAATTATCGTTAGCGCTCTATCAAATTCAAGTATCTTTTTTGATTGCCACTTTTTTCAAAGAAGAGAACAAACCCAACAAGACTGTGGAGCAGTAATAACATTCTGGAGCGGTTTTATGGAGCAGTAATAACATTAAAAAATTAAATGTAACAAAATAAAATTAAATTTTTTTTTCTAAAAATTGAAATTTTTTAATGACAATCATCCCCCCACACGCCATACTAAGTACAAAAGAATAGATTTCGCTCCTTGCAACAAATCAATTATGGCAAATAAGCTTCTTTCAACCAATTTGGAACGATTTCTAAGACGGATTAAATCTCGCTTACGCGTTAATAGCGCGAAATATATCGCCCGTTAATTGTCCCGAAGTGGCAATCTTCAAACCCCCTTAACTTTATGAAAAATGATCACAGGTGAAATATCTTTTCAAATATGAGCTCACGACAACAATAGCTTTGGAATGATATTTAAAAATTCCGACAAAAATGGCTAGTTAAAAAGTCGAAATTTGTCTGAAGAAAAAAAACTCACCCCGAGCACAAATATTCCGTTACTTTCGTATCGAAAGTCGGAACAAAAATAAAGTCAGCTCGACAGTAGAACACTGACCGTGAGCTGAATTCGCTGAAAAAATAAAACCACGCGGCGTAAATGTGAAAATACTTTATTGACTTTGACATCTAAATTTAAGTCTTCATTCAAAAAGTTAGCCTTTCGTCTAAACTGCTCAAATCAAACAATCTCTAGTTGTTAATGGTTTGAAATAATGAGAAGCATCAACGTCTTTTTTGTATGTTTTTCAACTTTCGAAATTCGAAGAAACAAATTATCGTTAGCGCTCTATCAAATTCAAGTATCTTTTTTGATTGCCACTTTTTTCAAAGAAGAGAACAAACCCAACAAGACTGTGGAGCAGTAATAACATTCTGGAGCGGTTTTATGGAGCAGTAATAACATTAAAAAATTAAATGTAACAAAAAAAAATTAAATTTTTTTTTCTAAAAATTGAAATTTTTTAATGACAATCATCCCCCCACACGCCATACTAAGTACAAAAGAATAGATTTCGCTCCTTGCAACAAATCAATTATGGCAAATAAGCTTCTTTCAACCAATTTGGAACGATTTCTAAGACGGATTAAATCTCGCTTACGCGTTAATAGCGCGAAATATATCGCCCGTTAATTGTCCCGAAGTGGCAATCTTCAAACCCCCTTAACTTTATGAAAAATGATCACAGGTGAAATATCTTTTCAAATATGAGCTCAGGACAACAATAGCTTTGGAATGATATTTAAAAATTCCGACAAAAATGGCTAGTTAAAAAGTCGAAATTTGTCTGAAAAAAAAACTCACCCCAAGCACAAATATTCCGTTACTTTTGTATCGAAAGTCGGAACAAAAATAAAGTCAGCTCGACAGTAGAACACTGACCGTGAGCTGAATTCGCTGAAAAAATAAAACCACGCGGCGTAAATGTGAAAATACTTTATTGACTTTGACATCTAAATTTAAGTCTTCATTCAAAAAGTTAGCCTTTCGTCTAAACTGCTCAAATCAAACAATCTCTAGTTGTTAATGGTTTGAAATAATGAGAAGCATCAACGTCTTTTTTGTATGTTTTTCAACTTTCGAAATTCGAAGAAACAAATTATCGTTAGCGCTCTATCAAATTCAAGTATCTTTTTTGATTGCCACTTTTTTCAAAGAAAAGAACAAACCCAACAAGACTGTGGAGCAGTAATAACATTCTGGAGCGGTTTTATGGAGCAGTAATAACATTAAAAAATTAAATGTAACAAAATAAAATTAAATTTTTTTTTTCTAAAAATTGAAATTTTTTAATGACAATCATCCCCCACACGCCATACTAAGTACAAAAGAATAGATTTCGCTCCTTGCAACAAATCAATTATGGCAAATAAGCTTCTTTCAACCAATTTGGAACGATTTCCAGGACGGATTAAATCTCGCTTACGCGTTAATAGCGCGAAATATATCGCCCGTTAATTGTCCCGAAGTGGCAATCTTCAAACCCCCTTAACTTTATGAAAAATGATCACAGGTGAAATATCTTTTCAAATATGAGCTCACGACAACAATAGCTTTGGAATGATATTTAAAAATTCCGACAAAAATGGCTAGTTAAAAAGTCGAAATTTGTCTGAAGAAAAAAAACTCACCCCGAGCACAAATATTCCGTTACTTTCGTATCGAAAGTCGGAACAAAAATAAAGTCAGCTCGACAGTAGAACACTGACCGTGAGCTGAATTCGCTGAAAAAATAAAACCACGCGGCG